AACATCTGGGTTGGGTCTGGAGATCTCCAGACTACAGAAATCAATTCCTGGAGGGGGGGGCGGGACTGCTTTGGAGGGTGGACTATACAGCATTTTACTCCCTGAGGTTCCTCCCCTCCCCAGAGCGTGTCCCCAAATCTCCAGGAATGTCCCAACCTGGAGCTGGCAACCCATTGTGGTGGTCTGTTTGCTAATACTCCCCCCTCTGAACCTGCTTCTGATGCCTGAGCAGGGTGGAGAGTGACCAATGTTCCCTCTAAGCCGTGGAGTCTTGTGAGCAAAAATTCCACTTTGTGAGCGACTGGCATCAAAGTTGTGAGCGAGCGACTTGGCTACTGCATAAATTAGGTTACTCTGGAGCCCTCCTTCATGAGCTAAGACAGAAATGTGTGAGCTGGAGGCTAAAAAACTGTGAGCTGGCTCACACTCAGCTTAGAGGGAACACTGGTGGAGACTCTAGCAGACGGAGAAGACCCTGTATCATTCCGATTCATGGAGGAGAGGTCCATCAATGGCTACTAGCCATGGGGACTCAAGTGAACGTCCACGTTCAGAGGCAGTGAACCTCTGAATCCCAGTGCCAGGAGGCAACACCAGGAGAAGGCCTCTGTTGTCGAACCTCCAGAGGTACTGGTTGACCACTGCGTGAGGCAGGATGCTGGACTAGATTGACCCTCACTGGTCTGATCCAGCAGGGCTCTTCTGATGTTCTCATGAAGGCCTTGGCCTCTCTGCCCTGGTGTTAGCCCTCCAGAGGAACTGGTTGACCACTGCGTGAGGCAGGATGCTGGACTAGATGGACCCTCACTGGTCTGTCCAGGAGGGCTCTTCTGATGTTCTCATGAAGGCCTCGGCCTCTCTGCCCTGTGGTTGGCCCTCCAGAGGAACTGGTTGGCCACTGTGTGAGATGGGAGGCTGGACTAGATGGACCCTCACTGGTCTGATCCAGCAGGACTCTTCTGATGTTCTTCTCAGGGGAAGGCCTCGGCCTCTCTGCCCTGTGGTTGGCCCTCCAGAAGAACTGGTTGACCACTGCGTGAGGCAGGATGCTGGACTAGGTGGACCACAGGTCTGATCCAGCAGGGCTCTCCTGATGTTCTTATGAAGGACCTGGAGGTCCCTTCCATGATTCTATGAGGGCTTGGGGGACCCCCATATTCGTAGGGGCACCAGTACCACAGTGTAAGGTTGTAGATGGAGAAGGTGGGACCTCCTGCGAGGTCACAGAGGACACTGGGCACGATCCCCATTCACGTTTCAAAAGATTCCCCCCACCCCCGTATTACAGCTCATCTCCAGATAGGAGGGATCAGAAAATGGATGCTTTTGAAGGTGCATTCGAGGGCATCGTATCCCACTGAGGTCCCTTCCCTCTCCAGGCTCCATCCTCAAACCTCCAGCAGTTTCCCAACCTGGATCTGGCAACCCTATCTCCCCCCACCCCTGACTGGTGGCTGGGGGCGACCTGACAACCCCGGGCTGAAGGGCCATCCTTCCTTCCGCTTCCAGTTCCTAATCTTTCAGTTTCTTCAGGCTGAAATCTCACAGTGGCCTGCTTTTGCCGCTCCGGCGTAACAACACGAAGCTTCGCCAACGTGCAGGAGATTGTGTAAAGGAGCCGCTTCCTCATGAGCTCGGGGATAAAAAACCGGAAGAATCAGCCCGGTTTCGATCTAGCTTAGCTGAGGTCTTGGAGAGGGAACAGGCTGGTCATCCACGCTAAAGGCAGGGCAAACAAAGCCGGCGAGAAGCCAGGAAGAGAGATTTCGGTCGATTCTGCATTGGCTTTTCCCTCCGTTGTGTTACGGAACCCAGACCGATTGCACACAAGAGCTGCGCCGTGGTCGCGCCTCCCTTTGCCCCGCTTCTAGCGGTCAATTTCCCACTCGAAGCCCCGCGGCCGCATTTTGACCCGCAGCTTTGGCTGATTTTCCCCGCGGTTTCGTGATCCTGTTTTTTAAGGATCACGAAACTGCGGGGAAAATCGGCCAAAGCCGCTGGTCAAAATGCGGCTGCGCGGCTTCGAGTGGGAAATTGACCAATAGAAGCGGGGCAAAGGGAGGTGCGGCCGCGGCACAGCTCTTGTGTGAAATCAGTCCCACATTGGAACAGAAATTCCCCTCTGCATTGTGTGCCGCTTCCACTTTCTTCGATCATCGGGTTTTATGGTACCTTCTGCATAGATCTATGGTTCTTTGACGGCTGTTCAGGGGTGACTTCACGGTCAACACGGCGTTGCCCCGAGGCATTTGGATGTGGTTTCGAGCTGCACGTTTCCCTCCCAGTTGGGAAAATGTGGAGTGAATGCTAGAGGCAGACTCACCCAAAGAGTCAAGAGAAGCGCTAGGCCTGATGAAGCCAGCAAGGAAGTTGGGAAAGAGAGAGGAAGTCCCTGGTAGAATTCGGAGCTTCCAAATATAGCCGCTAGCCGGGCTGGGTTGCTGTCAGAGGCAAGGGGCGGAGTGGGGGAAGGGCGCTGGACAGTAGGGAAGCACAAAAGCACTAGGGAAGTTGGGCTGATCCGAAGGTAAGAGAAAGCTCTGAAAGGATTCGTCAGATTCCAGGGAACTAGTTGACAGGAGCCCTGATGCAGGGTTGCCGTCCTCTGGGCAGGTAAACCAAAGAAGGGACCACAGTTACAGGAAAATATATAAAACAAACAAGCACTGTGATAAAAATAACAATAACATTTCATATATCCAGAGGTCGATTTGGGGGGGGGATCGCGGGGGATCGCAGTTCCTCCGGGTGAGGTGTGGTGGGCGGGGCACATGACGAAGCCCCGCCCCCTGCTTCCAGCCGCTCCGCTTCCGGCCCTCATTCAGCCAGGAGGAGGCAGGAGAAGAGGGAGGGTAAGTTGCTTCCTCCCCGCCTCTCCCCACCCCTGCCTGCCTGGGGCCAGGGAGGGCCTTGGCGGGGCTTCCTCGCACTCCCACCGGCCTTGCAGGTCCACCGCCGGGCCCCTGATGTCAGGGGGTGTGGCATATGCTAATGAGTTCCCCTAGCTCTTTTTCTACGAAACGACCCCTGCATATATCTTATGAACATCAGATTAGATGACAACTGAAACTTTTACGATATGTTGTCGAAGGCTTTCATGGCCGGAGTTCATTAGTTGCTGTAGGTTTTCTGGGTTGTGTGGCCGTGGTCTTGGCACGGTAGGACCTGACGTTTCGCCAGTAGCTGTGACTGGCACTCTCAGAGGTATAACACAGAAAGATGGAGGACTCTCTGTGTCAAGGGGAGAAGAAAAATGGTAGGCAGGTAATTTATATCTACTCAGGAAGGTGGGGTAGGGCGCTGAGTCATTATCTTGTAGGAGTTCCCCAGGCTGTGAACATGCTAATGGAGGAGCTTTCCTGAGGAGGTTCTTTTGTATATGGATTGGCTGTTTCCTGAGGAGGTTCTTTTGTATGTGGAATGTTTCCTGAGGAGGTTTCCTGTTTCCTGAGGAGGTTCTTTTGCATGTGGATTGGCTGTTGAAATTCTAATCTTATCTGTAGTGCTGTTGTCAGACGTAGAGCCTTTTGTGTTTTTCAGGACAGGAAACCATGCCCTATTTATTTTTTAACTCTCTTATTTCTAAACTCTCCATCTTTCTGTGTTTATACCTCTGAGGATGCCAGTCACAGTTACTGGCGAAACGTCAGGCTCTACAATGCCAAGACCACGTCCACACAACCCGGAAAATCTACAGCAACTAGTTTTACAATATTACTAAGGACATTCTAACATTTTGAAGGAAAGGTCCTTCATCCTCAATGAGCACCCGGTTAGACACTCATTTCACCAGTCTTCCTCGGGAGTAATCCTATTATATTGAAAGGTGTCAGCCTCTTTTACCGTTTAAGTTCTTTTTTTTAACTTTCTTCAAATTATCTTCTGGTTCCATTTTCAAATTATTTATTTATCGTTTTATTTTATTATTTCGATTTCTATCCTGCCTTGCCGGACGAACTGGCTCATTATCACAGCTTAACTTCTTTTTCGCTTTCTTCAATTTATCCTAGAACAAACACAGTTATTTAGAATGGAGAGAAACATGTAGCTGAATGGAATATTGTTTGGTTCTAGTTACATTTGAACCCATTAGGGTTGCTGGGTCTGCATTGGGAAACACCTGGAGGCTTTGGGGGTGGATCCGGGAGAGGGCGGGGTTTGGGAAGGGGAGGGGCCTCGGCATGGCCCAATGCCACCGAGTACACCCTTCAAGGCAAGGGAGCTGATCTCCCAGGCCCCACCTGGAGGCTGAAGCAACCCGAGCTGCAGTGTTAGGAGAGTCTAGTAACAAATAAATATACACTGCAGAAACCTTTTAGCAAACTAATGTGTTCTATTTATGGCCATCATTTAGTAAAGTGCCTAGTGTCTCATCATTTCATCCTAGTCAGGTATAAATATTCATTCCATTCAATAAGCAATAACATCCAATACATACAGATTGCTAACTACCAGACAATTTTGCATCAGTGTTTTAAAAGTCAAACCCCAACGGGAGTTTCTAGAATTATAAGCCCGCTTCTCCTTGCATGAAGTCTTCCAAAAAGAAGCCTTCTTGTATGGATGCTTTTTGCCGGTCCTACAAAAGACACATTATGCAGCTAACATTCATGGACAGAGTACTCCTGTCATTCTCAAAGCTGATGTTCTTATGAAGGCCTCATAAAGGGCTCAAGATTTCAGTAATGCTCAGTCATTATGACCGGATGGTTTTCAGATTGCCCCCTGGCATCTTCACTTTGGCCCACACCCAAGTCAAGAGGACCCCATACCGGTCTCTGCTCAGCCCCAGGGCCGTTCTAGCATCCCAATCCACTTTGATATCTGTCTCCTCAGCAG